GCCTTCCCTGCCTCTGCTTTGTGAGGTAGACCAACAAGGAGGCTGAAAATCGAACACACTGTATCTTGTGACTCTTCTAGGGAACGCCTCTCAGGAACTGGCGTGTGATAAGAGCACACGGGTGCAATGCCTTGTGGGGAAAATAAAATTGCTTCAGCTTCTCAGTGCTGGAGCCATCGAAGACACCTCGCTCCTCGCTATGCATTCTGGGAGCACATATGAGTTAACTCCACGTGGGAAGCAGTAAACAGGCTTGGCTATAGATATACTTCATTATTGCAGGTGCCTTTGACTTCACAATGGCAGTACCCCACTGGCCCCGCTGCTGCCATTGTGAATAGCCACAGTAAGCTGCAAACGGTCCCTCTCCATGATGAGACACTATTGCCACTGAATATGCAAAGGCGGATGTTTGGAAAGGAGGACTGCGGGTTGTGCGGACGTGGCTCGGCAACATCTCCGGCCAGCAGCACATCCACAGCCGGGCCCAGGGGTGGGAGACGCGCACCTGCAGGTAATGGGTTTGTCACGTGAGTGAGCTCTGAGGTCTGATCCAGTCCGAATCGGCGATATTTTAACACACGACTTTGCCAGAATTCAAGTCGGCGATCAGAGTTTTTCTCGGGGCTATTTTTAGCGCATACTTTCTGAGGGCCTAATTGCATGACTGTGGGTTCTGTGGTTTGATGTGTCTTGACAGCAAGAGAGAAGAAAATACACCGAAAGCAAGAGAGAGAACACAAAAGGCTCTTTTATTCCTCCTGTTGCCCCACCCTCCCCCGGACACTCCACTCACAGCCAGATGTGCAGCCGCTGGATACTGGCCAGACACTGCTTCAGGAACACCCAGAGGAAGACAGAGTATGGCACACAGCAGCAGAAGACAGAGAGAGAGACAGGGCAGGAGCAGAGCGAGAGACAGACTTACAGACCCCTCTCTTTCCCCCTCTCTCACTGCTCCTCACCTGCCAGAATCACAACAGCTCCCAATCCTACTGGGAGAGGGAGGAGGGAACTCTGTTGAACTGGCAGCCCAGTGTGTGATCTCCTGTCCCAGCCTGAGGAACAGCGAGCCCGTCTCCCGATAATGCTCCATATGTTTGGATGTTAATATCTTATGATATGTCTGTATTGTAAATGTCTGTAGATTTTTAAATGTTAATTGAATCTGTTTTGCTTTGGCAACACTGATTTTACTCTTTGGTTTTGCCAATAAAACATCTTGAATTGAAATGAATTGAATTGAGAGAGAGAGACAGAAACAGCAGCAGAGAGAAAGGGGGAGAAATTGTGGGGTGTGTATTGAATTACTTTTTTAACCTGAATTGTATTTTAGCTTGGTTTTTCAGCAGTTCTCTCAGTACAGTGGACCTGATGGTTCCAGCTCTTTGGCAATGCTGTAACTGTGAACACATATCCTGTCCGTGAAGCAGGAAACCAGGGACAGAGAGAAACAAGAGGAAGAAGGAACTGGAACTCATTCAGCGAAGGAAAACTGTCTAAACAGCGTCACTCAGGATTATTTTTAAACCCTAACACGTTATCTAATTAGAATGCTAAATGCTCAGGATAATTCAATTCATTTCTGGTATAAGATCCAGAGGTGAAGAAAAACAGGTTAAACAGAAAACATAGATTGGCTTGAACACACAATATAGTCTGAATATTTATTTTAATTACACAGATGCCAAATATAACATATTTACAACCTTTTAGAAACAATAATACAATTTGGGTTTATTATGAAGAGATCTCTCTCAGGTGAGCAGTTAGGCCTGTAATAATGTTGTCACAGACCCGGGCTTTGAAGATGGATGTGCTTCAGCAACTGTAATTCATTTTCTTCACTTATCTTTCCCAATATATGTCGGAATCCTGGTTTTAAGTGTTTGCAGTCCAGCTCAACGGTCAGTGTGTCTGTACCAGGGCCGTCCAGTCCTGGTCCTGGGGAGATGATCAGTGTGCCTGGAGCAGTCCAGGCTGTCCAGTCCTGGTCCTGGAGAGACAGTCAGTGTGTCTGCAGCAGGGCTGTCCAGTCCTGGTCCTGGAGAGACAGTCAGTGTGTCTGCAGCAGGGCTGTCCAGTCCTGGTCCTGGAGAGATGGTCAGTGTGTCTGCAGCAGGGCTGTCCAGTCCTGGTCCTGGAG